AGCCATAGAAAATGGCTCCGCGAACCGTTAAATACACCCGAATCTCCGAAGTAATTAAAAACAGGTATCGGTTTTTTCGCTTGTCGCCGCGTTTCGCGAGAGAAAAAAATGCAATTTTTTCCCGATGACTGGAAACCACCCCACCTCTCGCCGAATCTCCAGCCTGACAAAGTGGGGTGTACAACGAGAAATGGTTGGAAATATTAGTAATAAACGTGGGAATAATTTAATCGTCGTGAATAAACAACCGACGCCGGTTTAAACGGCATGAATAATGAAGTAACGCAAATGAAACGTGAAAATCGCATCACCGACGAACGCAATTATAATTCTACCGTATCGAAGGCGCGTGTTGTTTCCGCTCTGCGCTCGTACCCGTCACCGATAAGAGATATCCGAGCTCCCGAGGAAAGAACTAAAACGTCGCCGGATAAACGTGAAACGTTTACACCTATAACTTTCGGAGGGGAAAATTTCGAAGCACGAGCGCCAAGTGGACAGCTGAAATTACGAGGAAAATTTGTACCTCGTTAAATCCACGCGTGTCTGTCTGTCTGTGAGTACGTTGGATCGCGCGTTTTCTACGGCGGATATACGAGGCAAAGAGCGCTTATTCGAAATGCGCCACATCGAGTACTGTTCGAACGAATTCAACGCCGTCTATCGACTCTCTTTTTCCACCCACTTCTTCGCGATTTTCGCTCGTACCAACGGAATTCCAACACGATATTGTCATTCCTCGAGACGATTTTCTCACTTTCTCGCTCGTTGGAACAGTAGAATATCGTTGATTATTATCGAAGCTTCGATATTCTTTCGTTGCGTGCGTATTTAATTTCGTTTCCATTATTATTTCGGGAAAGCATATTTTACTTCCCAGCGACCTGTTTTGCTATTCGTTTTTAATACAATCGCGCCAACGCGATTGTTTTAATCTGCTCTCCCCGCGAGCTATTAATGCTGTTCCGTGTTACCGAGTCGTTTGATAAATCTCGCGAGTGACACGCGACTGTTGGGAAAAAAAAGAGAGAAAAAATGAGATATTTTGTTAATTTACGCTAAAAGGGGTATTATGGAGCGTTGTTGGGAACAGAGTAATTTCCTTGGCTGGATTATTTTATTTCGTGAAACGTAGAACGGACATTTTCAGTGGGATAAAACGAAATTGGATTATCGTTGGTTCACGGTGAAATTAGCCTGATGACGGACTTTCTGCATTCCTTTTCATTCTAATTCTCTCCCTAGAGAGGGAAGAAGACGCCACTTTTGAAACGCTGAAACACTAACTGTTCTGAACAATTTTTTTTCATATTTTTCACTTTAAAAATATATGTAATACAGTAATAGAGAAATAAATAATTTCGACAATTTCAATATTGATAAATTTAATAGAAGAATACTAATACAGTAAATTCTCCACAAGTGTCAGTCCGCAAGGAATCTAAACCTGACACTTGTAGAGTCAGGGACTACGTTTTCGAGCCTCGCGCCCGTCTTTGTAGTTTGCCGAACGTAGACAAGGACAGCGAATAAAAGATAAGGATGAAACGTGAGTCGAGGCAACCAAGCGATTTAAATATCAACTTTTTTAACTTTACATTTCTTTATCCCGAAATTTTTCTTAACATATTGATGAGATTTTTCTGATGAAAATGACATCAAACACGACATAATTTGAACAACATTTACTTATTAACACGTTCACTGTCACGCCAGACAATTATATCGTGTTTGATATCATTTTCATCAGAAAAATCTCACCAACGTGTTAAAAAACATTTCAGATGAAAAAAAGTAATATTAAAGAAATTATATTTTTCTATTATGAATTGTCGAGGCGTGAAATCTCGTAAAAGAACGCTTGACTGACAGCAAGCGAGATAACATAGGCGCAGCAATGACGCCTTGGCGTAGGACCATCTATACTGACACTTGTAGAATCCAAACTGACACTTGTAGAATCCAAACTGACACTTGTAGAGAATTTACTGTACTATTTTTTATCGTTATCGCCGACGTTAGAAAAAATAAATTTAGTGTTTCGAGATTAAAGGGAAATGTGACTGTGTTTTATGTTATAGTCAAACAATTGATTCGATCTATAATTAATCCAGTTGCAACGAACTAATTACAACGTAGAACTGCTAAACCCACGATGACCGCGGCTGCAGCCAATTAAGCTGGAAAATCGAGTTACCCTGGTATTCTTATTTCTCTGTGCGGATATTGACTTACCTGAGATAAAACCGCGAGATTAAATTGACTTAACTCGCTCTCGTTCTCGAGGGCTCGTATATCAACTACGTGTACATTTACATCTTTGCCTCTTCTCCACTCTGTAATACGCTCGTGAGCTATAATTGTTCAGAATTCACGCGTTCAACGTTGTACGATGATCAGGATATCAAGAATAGAATCTCCGAGTTGAATTATGAAAAATTACGCGAGGATTATTTGATCGTAAGGAAAAATCAAGCTCGGGCAAATTTTCCTGGAGATTTTAATTGACCTCAGATTTTAATATTTGTTAGAATAGATATAAGAGTTTGCGCAAACTCGGAATTTATCGTTGCTTAATGAGAAAATATAAAATGAGGTGTTTTAATTGATTGGAAATTGGTCGGACTTGAGAGCAGCCATTAGCTGAGCTTCAATTTCTTGCATATCTTCTCCTCGGTTTGTTTTTCTTCTTCTGTACCAATCCTGGAGACGTAAGGGACGGTAAATGATTTTTTGGAAATTTTCTGGGTTAGAGAAATAATATATTTTCGATATTTTTTAATTCGTGAGCTTGACAAGCTGTCCCCAATATTTCTAGGGTCCCTACAACTTCGTTAACCTTTTAACTGGGGAAGACGAGTTAAGTCATTGGTTCTTCTATGCTTAGAACACAGTACAGTAGTGCATACATAAGCGTCCGCATTCGGTCCTTACTTAAGTGGGGAGGTGACTTCTGCGAATTTAACTAAAGAAAAGAGAGATGTGTCTGAGTGTCTGAATTACTTTGTTTCCACCCCGGAGTCCCATTTCCAAGAATTGGTGGGGATAGCGACGGACGCTTATGTGTGCACTGCTGTGATTCATTTATCCAAGGATTATTTATTTTTCATTATACAATTTCGCCTGCGTTAATCATAAAATACATCACCTTCCCATTATACCAGAAGAAAAGTACAGTAATTGGTTACAATTTCTATTCACTTTCAATTACAAACCGAAAAGATACCATTTCTGCTTGAAAAGTGAGCTCAGTTAACGGATAAACAATCCTCGCGACGCGAAACGGCGGCGAAATCAACGTAAAAGAAGAAAGCTGGAATAGACAAGTAGATAAAAGAGAAGCGGTAGTAGAAGAAATGAGAATTCCAGTGCAGAACTTGAAAATTCTTCGCCTTTCTTCGTGGCGACGAGGCGCGATACAGTTTGTCGAATAACGCTTTGTTATGCCAGCGGGCCGGAAGTTCAAGAGGTGTTATTCCATTTGCTGGCCCCGCAACGCGGGAGTTTTTCCATTCGTGGTGTCTGACTGATTTATCACCGCCCTTATGCTCGCGTGTACCACCGAGAATGCCACTCTTTCTCTGTACGGTGTGTTCCCTTGACTGATAGTCGGCCCCCGCCATCGGCCAGGGCGGAAGGACCTTCCTTAAGCCTCGCACGTCTCTGGAATTCTCGATTCCCAGCTTTCTGTCTATCCTACTTCCGCCACCCTCACCTCCGACCATATTTCTTCGTTTCCTTGGATAGCTGGGCCAGGGTAAGGGAGGCTGGAAACAGCCGCACACTGCTTTGCCAATCCGAGCTCCGTCGACGTATATACTATATATATGTAGGATGCAATTAATTAGACGGAGATAAGTGGATCACGAAATATGGCCTGTGAAATAAATCCTTCGCTCTTGTTTGATAGTAGAGTTTGCGAGCTGGAAAAAGTTCCTGCTCTTGGCCTATAGAAATGTCGTTTAACCCTTTGGCTGTGAGGGGTGGGTGTACTGGGTGTCTCGTGTAATTAGGAGGTTGGTGTGTCTTCGCTATGGTTAAGGATGGAAGAAAATTTCGAAAGGCGAGATTAAACGGTGTTGTGTTTCATTTTTGAAACTTTTTTTTAGGTGCAGAAATTAATTCGCTGCCTTTGTTCATATTTTTTCAAAGAGAGAATTCGTCAGTGCGCTCGATAAATAGAAAAAAAGTCATCCAAAGTAAGGGAGCTCGAAATTCTCTTGAGTTTTTTTGTAAATAAACATTCAAGTTTGTGAAAGAAGGCAATTAATTCGTACACCTAATAACTTTTCAATTTTCTTAGAAATACACGCCTTTCGTTTCAGCCCTGTTCATGCTTGCAAAACAGTTTCTAACTTATGAAAAATATACTAATATCAAAACTCGACCGAAGAATTATTTAAAATACTCTGGTAAATAAAAAGTGTGCAAAACTGGTGAATAACTGAAGCCAATACGAAAATTTCACGAGGTAGCAAAATAATTCACAAATAGATACGAATGCAAGTAGTACATATAAACGATAACCGCGCCCAGGTACGTAATAATACCCACTTGTATCACTGTCTACGTCAGTGTTCTAACATCGACCAATTTCTACACGAGGATTAAATAATCCTTACTCAACACAAAACACAAGATCTCCGAGCTGTAGCCGTATCTACAAGCCGGCAAAAAGAAGCAGCCATTCCCACGCAAGCTTTAGCCAATTTCTCAAAGAACCTCCTCGGTGGATCTTTCGCCAGGCGTTACGTTAAGGCTAACGACTTACAAGCATCGGCTAACTCGTTGCTGTAAATCGTGACAGAAGCGTCGACGAGTTGATAAGATTATTCTGTCTGTTGAGGAAGAGGGAGGGAGAGATGGGTAACCGTGAATAATCCGGGATGAATGGTACAATTTGTCAGGCGCATTAAGCGGGTCTGCGTTAACGCGTGTCACGGCCGATGTGTAATAATAATAATGAGCCCCCGACTAACGATGGTAATTTTTGCTTGCAGAGGCCGAGGTGAGATCGCCACGTTTCACTGGCTCCGGCTGGTTGGCGTTCCCCGCGCTGAAGGCTGCTTACAAGCACGTCCAATTAGAATTGGAATTCCGGCCTGAGGCATGGGACGGGATTCTGTTGCTCGCCGGCGAGAGGGACGATCTTCAGGGTGACTTCATGGCCCTGATTCTCCACCATGGCTTCATCGAGTTCAGGTAACGATATTACTTCGTCAATCGTGTATTTGCCCTGTTGAATACGTTGCAAATGTAGCGAGAAATGTGGCCTAGAGTGGAGAGGAGAGTCGGAGATTTATCAGGAGGTTGGCGTTGGGTCTGAATTTGATTAGCGGTGGAAATTGAGGGGAGGATCGGTAAGGTTGCGTGTTGGAAATTGATGTTCGTCAACGTGGACTTTTTAGGGAGAATTATCAGTCGATGAATTAAATGTCCATTTTCTGTAATATATTTTAAAGGAATTGGTATTTCTGTGTATTACATTTGGTGTTGTGCGAAATGTCCTTTAAGTGATTAGGTGATTTTTGAATAATCTCTTCGTTTCAAATTTTCACGATTCTTGTCAGGTGTTGGCCAAGAACCAAATTATGTCAGAGAACAGACATAATTAACGAATATATTCTTACCCTATTTAAAATTGTCCCATTTACTCTGATTTTCGATTTCTAACTCACATTCGTTAAATTAGAGTAGAAAAATTTAAAAAATATAGAAATCTTAACGATCCACGTTGTTCAATAACGGTCGCTCGTGTAACGAGCGATACATCGGGAAAGGTAACTTCGTTTCGTCTAATAATCCGTGAATATGGGCGACGACGAGAGTTGGAGAAGAAACGGAAATCAAAGTTCGCTGTGGAGCCAACGTGTTATCGAAAGTCGATCGATTGGAACAACGTAACGAGCCGACTGTTTGCCGCAAACTGTTCGCGGCCATGCTCGCCAACATGCTTCATCGTATTATGAGAACTTTCCGCAACTTCCGCTGATGTAACCAAAGTTTCCCCCCGAAACCTCATTGCCCTATTAGCGGCAGGACATCAAAGGACTCGCGCGAAACCGCGATTTGCTTGAATTTACCGTGAGACACATTGCCCCGCAGGGACAACGACGCGTGATCGATAAACTTCGATGAAACTCGACTCGAAGACACACGCTCATCTGCTCTCGATGGGTTAATTTCCATCGACTATGCACGGTGTGTCTTCTTACCTGTTCGCCACTCCTTCGTTTCGGTTTATGGAGTGACGTAATTACCTTGGTACTTGTGACGCAGGATGTGAATATTTTCACATTCTTCAATTTGCAGAGGCAGAAGTGGTGCATGAAAATTAAGTCGAGTGCTTTTTAAATAAAAAATGTGTTTATTCGGTGAATATTTTGAAACACAGTGTACTGTAGCGAAAGGATCGAGAATAGGCGAAATATGAGAGTGCTCGAGGATCTCTAGTTTTTAAATTTGCAGTTTTCGAGAATTTGAGAGTTTTAGGTATTCAGAGTTTGCAATTTTCATCTCGATTTTATGTATTTTTAATAGTGAAAATTGGGATTGAAATTTGTAGAATAAAAAGGGGTTGAAATCTTCAAAAATGCGATCGTCAGAGACTGTATGACGCTTTTAAAAATATCAATAACTAAATTTTAAATAAACTTGTCCATTGATTCTCAAGTTTACGGTTTTTGAGAATTTGAAAATTTCACAATTTCAATTCTACCTATTTTTAATTCCAAATATTTGGATTGAAATTTACGAAATAAAAGGGTATAGAAACCTCCAAAAATGCGATCCTCGGTAACTGTGTGACGCTTTTAAAAATATCGCAACGAAATTTCAACTAAATTCGACGATATTTCAACTACGCAAAAATCGGAAAATTAATATTTCCCCGTCCACTAGACAGACAGCAACCCTTTAAATCGTTGTCAGAGATTTGAACCCGGTAGTCATCGTAGCGTGCAGCTTTGCCATGCCTGCATTCTCTTTTTCCGAGGGTGCTTTTAATTATTCGAAGCTGGCTCGTGTTTCTTTTTCGGAGATTTCGTTTTCGTCTGTTTCGCGAGAACCACTGGAAATGAAGTGGTGAAATGCTATTGCCGCCGGAGTGGACGTATTATACGTAATGATCGTAAGAAAGTGAAGAAGGCTCTCGAGGATCAAAGCTTTGAAGTTGGAATAAGAGAGTTTTAGATGGAGAAGGTGAGAATACCGGAGGTATAATGGCGGCAGAGATTTCTCTAATATAATCCAACGTGAGAGGATCTCCTGGTGAAATGTGATTCACAACCAGTACTCTCCATATTCTGTTACATCTAACCGGATATATCTGTTACATAATTGTAAACAATATTTAGTCGAAGTACTGTAATTAGAAAAAGTCGTGCAAAATGTAAGCATACACTGTCACGTTTATTCAAGTAATTAGAAACATGTCAGAGGATTAGTTTTGTTATTTACATACGTTCGTACGTATTGCGGATTTGGTTTTAATAATATGTTGTGAGTGATGGCGTAAATGTCGTGTGTTTATTTTGAATTTGTGTGCACGATCTAGGATAGACATGATATATGGCTGATACTCGAATCGACTCGAGATTGGGGAAACGGGCGGTGTCCTAGAGAGAAACAGCGAGTAAACAGTAGAGCCGCGTTGTTCATGATAACAAGAGAGTGCGAGAGCATATATGAGAGAAAGAATAAGAGAGCATTGATCAGGTTATTATTATTCCTTTTTATGTGTCTTTATCGTTATTGTGCAATTATTATTGTAATATATATTCGTATTAAACTTTCTACCACGTGTTATTCACCCACACGTATCAGTTTGAGTATTATTCGACAAATTTTATTTATTTATTTAGCGTATAAACCGATTTGTGTAAAAGTAACATGGAGAGCAGGCAAGATATGAACGTTTGCAAATAAAAACAGAGCAAAAGAAAGAAAAATTAAATTAAAAGCACTAATGTAGATAAAAATTGATATATATTTAAGTGTGCATAATTTTCCTAAATCGCAGTTCCTTTAACTGTATTTTTTTTTTTTTTTTAGATATAAATGTTATCTTTCATTTTTTAAACGAAATTACAATATTTTTTATTATGGCAAATTACAAGAAGTCTAACAATTACGCATATGTTACAGAGAATACAAATAATTTCCAAGAAACTAAAAAATTTATGCGTTCGATTACGAAAATTGTTCCAAAGCGAACACTGCGTTGCCAAACAATTTTTTTCAAATTTCATAGCAACGAACCACCCTGCAAAATTAATAATCAACGTAAATAATACAAATTGAAGGGTCTGAGTTACCAATTAACCGAACGAATTAACTCAATTCCCCGGAACAATCATAATCAATTACTCCCCGGAAACAAAACTACAAAAACAGCAGGAACACGTCTCTCCCAAACTCCCATGCAGCGCTATAAAATGCCACAGGGGCAGCGAGGGCCGCTTTCTTTCAATGAGGATGCGCCGTAAAAGCCGGATGACGAATGTAGGATCCCGCGGATGGAAATTAAAACAGCTGTAACGGGTGGCTTGATGGCGTGGCCGTAAATGAATTTCCAGCCGCGTCTCGTGGAATACTGGCCTTAAGGCTTCGTCTAAAGTATCGCGTTGATGAACTTCCCACCGGCAGTATATTTCCTTAACGGGTGTGGAAAGGAGGTCCGCCGTGCCGGAGGAACTTTTCCTCCCTCGAACTTTTACGGGGACACACTTTGGCCCCGGTTATACGTCGCGACGTCCCTTCTGAGTTTCACGTTGGCCGTTAATTAAGAATTCCGGTGCGGCAGCTAATTTTTCGGTTACAGCTTAATAACCCGTGACTGCCGGCCGATTTATGAATCCGGAAGTTTCCGCCGCCACGGAGGGAGGAAACTCGGCCGCGTTGACGCGCGCCGATCACGTTTCCATCGACCCCGTTGTGTCGTTTGCCCTCCAAGTTTTCATTAACGGCGACTTATAGGCCCCGCTGTGTAAACTATGTCGGGGAAATTTCACGCTTGTGTACAAGGTGTTCGATTTTCATTTAAATTCAACGCCCCTTGGAAACATCCTTCGTGAAATTGGACGGGATTTTTTTTTTTGTTTCGCTGTAGGAACACTTGGATCTTTCTGGAGTGACTGAGAGTTTCGTGGGATATTGACTTAGGTGTGGTAATTTAGATTATGGGAATTATGGGGTTGATGTAATTTTGGGTCTTTATGTGGAGTGAGATATTTTTAGGAGAATTGTTTTTAATAGGAATCTGAATATAAAATTGAACTGTAAAGTACGCTCTTGGGGCACTTTATTTTCAGTATGCATGCTTGATAAATGGGATCGTTGCAATTAAGTAATTTTAATTCTTTGAATTCTGTAAATTCTTTTTTAGGAGAATTATTAATTTTGGTAGGAATTAATTAAAATTTCTAAAATTTAACCATAGAGTATTTTCTTGGGGCAATTTGTTTTCAGTATACATGCCTTTTTATTTTTTAAGTGGAACGAGATATTTGTTATTTTTGATGCAAATTTCTAAATACAAAATTTATCCATAGAGTACTCCTTACTTTTTATTATAATATATATTAACAACAATTGAAGCAAAATTTGCCAATGATTAGACTTCAGGATCTTTACGGTGCTTTCGGCCAGGCAACGAGTTAAAAAGCGGAATCCGCAGTTAATTATCGAAACAACCAGTCTGAAAGGATCGAAACACGGTTTCCATAGAAACTCTCTGTTCGAACAGAACGTCGGTTGTAATTTATTCAACACTGTTGGGATAATCGTTCATTGTTCCTCGGTTTCCATAATTCATTAACCGTACGCCGAAAGATTGGTCGAGGAATTTATCGTTCCGTTAAGCAGACATTGGTGCAGAACGTTGGAGCATTCACCAGCCGAGGAATTTGCGAAACTGATCTGAATGGCAGATGAAAGGCTAAGCACCTAACTGCTCTCTGATCTTTAAATCACTATTCTTCTGCGAGACGATAAAGTAGAATCTCGTAAAGCTGAATTGTCAGAAAATGCATCGAACAACGTGGAATATTTATCCATATTTAAACTCTTCTTCAACTTTTCTATTTCCTACCGAGGAAAATTCGATAAATTCTGAAACTTCTTGGATTTCAAATTTTTAGAACGATTTGAAATTTCGTCTCGATATTTACTATTTAACGATTCATATTTCGAAAACGTGTACG